TCATAACTTGAGTTTCAGAGACCCAACAGAGGCGTACCAAGAATGGTTAGAAAGCTTAGGAGATCAGCTACAACTTTTATTTAGAACACTTTTACAGATTCTGATATCCACATGGTCAAAAACAGAGCTAAACCGAATCTGTTCTGGGTTCTAGTCTGCGCAGAAACATTAACTTGTGACAGCTAGATATCACAAACCTGAATAGATATTGACGTGATTCTAGAGACATTTGAAAGATACAGAAGTCTAGATATCTCCACAAAAATTTCAGAATTTTTGGCAGCTCAGATCTCGAGATACAAGATAAAGAACACAGGCTGCTCCAGAAAACAGCACAACAGAGATATGATAAAGCAAACCCATCTACATTAAGACCTCATCTAAACTTAAGGTTCAAATCTATGGAATTTGTGGACATGTCCACAAACCTCCAGCAATCAAACAAACTCCAAATCATCCAAGTTCACAATTAAAAACATCTGGTCACTAAAGTTCACAAGACAAGACATGACACACGAACTAACAACGTCATAGCTTTAAACAAGGCACCTAACACCTATGGGGCGGTGTCAACCATGGTGAACGACCGGGGCTTCTTCTTGTAGATCGGTGGCAGCCCAAGTTGAGCACGTAGTTCGTCAACTTACTTCTGGAGACGCCTCTTGGCCCTCTGCGATGCACGCAACTCTCCCTTGACTTCTTCATCTACCCCCTGCATGGCATGGACATGTCGCACTATTGCTCCCAGAGTTGGATCACTTTCTGGTGGTGCCAGAACCTGCCAATTACCCTTATGATCATTGCGAGGAAGGAACCTAAAACGATCCTCCTTCATGGCCTCAAAACGACGACCATGGTAGTAGATGTAAGCATCCTACGCTGCATCTTCCATGCCATCCAATGCATAAGCCCATCTAGCAGTGGCACTGTGGACAGTCTCCACCTCATGTGCATTCTTTATGTCGTTCCAGGCGGTGACAACCAGCTCTACCTTCCAAAAAGTTGCCTCCAAAGGGTGCTGGTACTCTGCACAGTGATAGTTGATGGAGGCGTGCAGGTCAGTGTAGTAGTCATCCAGCACCTGAGTAAGGAGGGTGTGGTAGTAGGCCGTCTCCGGGGCCTGCTTGAAGTAGTATTTGCACGTCCAACCCATCTCCTCATCCACCACAGGGACAGCTGGGGGTGGCACAGGCGTTGGTGAAGTAGTTGATGACTCCATTGGTGTAGTTGCAACAGCATAGATAGGTGCAATAGCTGGAGTAGGAGCAGGTGTTGGTGCAGGAGTCGGGGTAGCCATCCACTCCTCATCTTCCTCGACCAAAGGTTCCACCTCATCATCGGAGATGACCACAATCTCCTTCTCCACCAGTGGAGCACGGGGGGTGAACATGGCACGGTAGCCTGCAGTGCTGAGGTGGGCGGTCTTCAGGTTATGAGACATCTATAGATTTAGAGTGAGATAGAATTAGAATCAACAATTTTATATAATAGATTAAAGTATGAAAAGCATAAATATTTTAATAAAATAACAAGAATGAGACAGTAAGCATGAAATCAGTGGAGCGAAGATGCTAAAATGACCATCTCTAACTAAGCTTGCGTCCTACAGTCAACATAGCTCTGATACCAATTTGTCACACCCAATTTTAAGGATAAAATTGAATGCATAAAACTCATGTGTGCCCAGGGATCAGTCACACACATAAGCTGACAAATTACAGAAAGTATCATCACAGTGTATCTTACATCACGATTAGTACCATCACATAGTCTTACACAACACAGCGGAAAATAAAAAGGTAGCTCTCTCGTGGTAGTTCCAACACAGGGACGATCAACTAGTTGACCTCAAGCCTAGAAGTCCTCTGGAAACTCCTCATATTCGTTGACATCTGTTACCCATCCGGGATTTTTATCCAAATATTGAAAGTAAACAAGCGTAAGTACTTCCCGTACTTAGCAAGATAACATGGGGTTATGAAAGCTCAAAAAGGATGACTCTAATTTACTGCGGTTAGATCTTTTAGTAAGTCAAGATTTTATCATCAACTATTATCAAGTTATGCTTAAGCCCCAATTAAACCCACATGGTCAGATATCAGAATCAATTGAATCATATTATCACCGTAGAACATCATAAATGAACAACAATAAATAACCAGTTATTCTGTGAGTTTTCCGGGCCGCTCATGACCGTAAGCACGGCTGTTATAACAGTTTGTAACACTCTGCAAAGGTTGTGCACATTCACCGTGAGTCGTGATTCCCATATGCCCGGGTTAGTTACTCCCATATCACTGCCAATGTGAGCGGGCGGGGTACACTATGAAACAATTTCATAGGTTTCGCTAACAAGTTATGGCCGCTAGGTTTCCTCGGCAGACAGATGTAGGAACCCCCCTTTCCTATGGCACAAATCCTTCGTGGCTATAAACATAAGAATAGGGGCAGTCCTATACCCAACGTGGCAAGCCCCTTTTGCGCCATAAAGGTAACCTCTAACAAGCTAGAAAAGGTCCTATTACTGAGCTAAAGTCAGAGCCATGTGACCCTCATGGTTGCACTATCAGTCCCAGCTTTTGTCGATAGATAAGTCCTTATGGAGGGCCATGAGCATCATGATCAAAAGTCATTTGCTCCTTCGCCCTATAATTCAGTTGTTTAAAAGCAACTTTTACCTTTTCGTTCCACAGAACCATGATTCATTATGTAGATCATGTATATTTACATTGAGCACTAGCAAACTACCCATATGCATATAACCCGTAGGAGACAAGGGAATATGATAATCAACCACTAGGATGTCCTTACAGGTATCAAAGTTAGACACATGCAAATGAGTAATTAATAAATGGTGAATAGGACCTCAAGGTAGATCCCATGCTATACTTGCCTTGGTTAGCAAACTCCTGCTGGTCGTCAAAGGACTCTTGGTCTACAACGTTCTCCTCACCGTATGAACACGATCAACACGGCAACATACAACATTTCAGGAACATTCATGCAAAGCAAATAAACCTATAGTTAGAACAGTACACCAGCAGTATAGAAAACCGGATAAAATGTTTATGGAAAGAATCTATGTCTCGCTACGATCACGTCAACGCGAAGTTCACAAAAATCAGAGCTAAAACGCGAAAGTTATGATTTAAACAAGAGTTTCTAGAGCAAATTAATTAAGTAAACCTAACTATGAAATTTAAAAGTTGCAAACATGGTTAGCAATGGTATTAACACGTAGATTATGCGATTACGAAACTAACGCAAGTGGAATGGGTCAAATCGGAGTTAAAACGAAGTTTTTATGAGCAAAACAAATCCAGTGGCATTTCTGCAATTAGAATGAACTATTTTTGGATTTAAAATAAATGAAAAGGATATTCAGATTTAATCGACTAAGGGACAGCGGGCATAAATTGCCGAAAACCGAGGGACTCTTTAGCAACTTTGCCACGACGAAGGGGTATCGGCCACCCTGGGCCGTTGATCAAGCGATGGACGGCTCAGATTAGAGCTGAGGGGGAGAGAGAGAAGGCCGGCGGCCGGAACAGGGCTCCGGCAGGCGGGGCACCATGGCCGGCGACGAGGAACACGCCGGCGCACTCGGTTCAGGGTCTACGGGCCACGGTTCGATGAACCGAGGGCACCAGGGGAGAGAGGAGGTGCAGGCGACCTCGCCTAGGCCGAGAACACAGTCGGAGTACGCGGCCGACACGGTGGTCGCCATGGCCGGCGGCGTGAAGGTCCATGGCGCTAGCGGATTGGGCCCTAGAGGCCATGAAACACGAAATTAAAGGCATGGGGAGAAGGAGGGGAGCACGGTGAATCTCACCATGGTGAAAATCGAAGACGACGGCGGCTCGGGGACGGCGAACCGCGCGGAGGGACGGACGGTGGACCTTGGCGCAGCGGTTGCGACTTCCTCGTGCAAGGGCGAACGCGAGAGTGGAGCGGGGGAGACAGCAGGGAGGGCGGCGACGGGCTCGGCTCCTTTATAAAGGCCGGGGCGCGGGGGAAGACGCTCCCACGACGTGAGATGGGCGCGGCGGCGGTTGCGGCTTGACCGTGCGCGATGCGCGGGAGGTGAGTGACGGCGCCGACAAGTGGGCCCAGGCCATCAGCGGCAGAGAGAAGGAGGGAGGGCGCGGCGGCAACGGTTGCCAGCTCGCCCGGTTGGGCCGGCCTAGGAAGAAAACGGGAGGAGAGGAAAGAAAAAGAGAAGGAAGGCCAGTGGGCCGGCGGGGAAGGAAATGGGCCAGCAGGCCAAAATGAAGAAGGAAGGGGGAGGGAAAGAATTTCCTTTTCTTTTTCCAAATCAAATTTCTAAATTCATTTTCAAATGACTTTTTTGAATCCTTTTGAGTTTAAATCAAAACCACTCAACATATTAAATACAATGCTGCAGCATGAGTGCATCAACATGTATCTATCCTTATGATTGATTTTAATTTCACAAAAATTATTATTTTCCTATATTTGAATGCACACATAATTGCATAAATAAATCAGATTTAGCTATTTTAAAAAGAGTGCAAATTTTAGGGTGTTACATCGGACATGGATTCATGGCGGTCTGATGTGCTGCTGTAATTTTTAAGAATATTTGACTTCGATTTGGATCCCTGCTTACAGAAGCACAAGTATCTGCTGTCTTGTTCATAAGCATAGCATACCTCAGCACATTTTGTGAAGCATCTGATCCTGTCTTTTATGTGAAAAGTTTTTATAACTCCTGCTCTCTGAACTTCTTTGTCCACCTTTGCCTGATATAGTGTTCAGGTATCTCGTTAATTCCAAACTGTGTGAAAAGCCTTAGAACATGGCAACAAAGTATTCCATCTCGCTCAAACTTCGAACATATGCAATTAAATATCTTTTTTACCATGTCAACTTCAACAGAGAAGGAATCATTCAGAAATTCAGCATCTTCATATTCCAGCACTCTCTTCACTGTATAATTTCTGTCCTTTTCCTCTTCAAAAACATTGAAAGCAGATGCATCAAGTAGCTCTTTCTGAAATTTTTTGCCTTTCTATTGGTTGCCTTGTGCAGTATATTGGCTTTTGCATACTTGACTTAAATCTATCAATGCTAACAACCTGCTCTTGCAAAATGTTACACTGACCGATGAAGGTTTCAATGTTATCCTCCTGCAGAACATAGTCCTTAAAGATTGAGTTTGTGCTCTCACAACCTCTGAAGGAACGTATAAATGGGCAAAACACATGTTTGAAGTAAACTGGCACCCACATAGATCTTGTCCAATACATTTGCTTCAAGTGTGCATTTATTTCTGCATTATATTTCTTAAGCATTGCTTTCCAACCATTCTCAAAATCTTCAGTAGTTAAAGAATTCAAAACAAGACATGACATCTCAGCATCCATTCCAGGTCTGTTTGCCATAAAACCTCCAAATTCAACTCCAGCTTCCCTCATTACATGCCACATGCTAAACCGATGAAAAACTGTAGGGAATACCTCTGCAATTGATTTCTGCATAGCTGAATCCTGACGAGTCATTACAATACTTGGTTTCTTGTCTTCCATCACATCCAAGAATGTCCTGAATAACCAAGAGAATGTCTCTGCCTCGTCATTTTCAAGCAGAGCCCAACCAAAGACAGTTGGCTTACCATGCCCATTAATTCCAATTAATGATGCAAACGGCATGTTGTATGCATTGGTTCTATAAGTTGTATTAATGTGAATGAAATCTCCAAATAAAGCATAATCCAGTCTAGCTCGCACATCTGTCCAAAAGATACTTCTTATAGTACTATCTTCATCAGTCTTCATAGCATAGTACAACCCAGGTTGCTCCTTTTTCAATTTTCTCACATGTTCTAGTGTGCTTCCAATATTTGTATTCCTAGTCTTCATCACTCTGCCAGACTGTTTCAAGTTGTTGACATCTACTTTACTCACAGGTATATTCTTAAATCTCCCCTGTAATTTCTTGAAAATTTCCATTATCTTTGTTGGTTTAATTTTGCTTTCTTGCAATACTCTTGAGAAGTGTCTCTCTTCCTCTGACATGTGCTTGTGGCTCATGAAAAATCTGGTCAACAAGGGTGAACACCAAAGTGGGTGATTATGTTCATTCATAACTCCTATAATCTCCCACCTCTGCAACAAGTTTCACAGTCACCTTCATGGGGCATTGAGTATGCACAATAGCATCTCTTCTCCTCTTCTTTGGTCTTGTATCAGCTTGTTTTGTTTTCCTACTTTTATTGCACACAAATCTTATCTTCTTGTGCTTGTAATTTGTTCCTTTAATCACTGTGTATCCAGTAACTTGCCCATGGACATTGATAAAACAATGAGCGTCTTGTAGTGTGGAAAATATCATGCCAACCTCTGGAGCTCTAGACTTTTCCAATTCTTCTGGACTTGGGAACATATAGTCTTCATCACCATCAACTTCTGCTTCAGCTTTATCTTTTTGGAAATCATTGGGGTCTTCGTCTCCTTCATTTAGGACAGTAGTCCCATTCTCCTGGTCCAGTTCCTGTAATTTAAAAAATGTTTATAGCTTCCTAAGAAAAGGAATCTTCAACAATTTTAACTGTGAGATGCGATGAAATTTTGGCATAGAGATGCAAGTACCTTAACAAATGTGCTCCCAGCTTCTGGGGCCTGTATTTCGGTATCTGTTTCAGTACATTCCAGCAGGAAAGTAGGTGACTGCTGAAATGGAATGTCACTGCAGCTTAATCTCCATTGTTTATTCCATACAGTTTCTTTGGTCCTGTAAACTATGTGCCAATGAGTTTTTAGATCATTACCTGCAAGCTTAATCTCCATTGTTTATTCCACACATGGTTTATTGAGCCGATAGCCATTGGATGCTAGGAATGATTTTTATTGGGCACCATGTATGTGCTGTCCAAGTTGGTAAAGAACATGAATTTGCAATGCTTGCCAAAAAAATCAAGTTATAGTGCTAAGCAACACTTGCAGTCCTACAACTACAGCTGCTCTGCCCTTTTGGATATATGCTCCTCACTAAATGTGTACTTGCAGAAATCTTTTGCATCTATTGCCGTGTTCCGTCTGTTAGAAGTTGTGTGAGATATATATTTCGTGCATCTAGAAGTGCTGAAAAATCAATCCACTTTGACCAAGACAACACATTGATCATACAAGATATTATTGCTTGTTCAATGGATATAACTTCGTCTTGAAGGCCTTGTTTAAAACATGTGTAGTGCTAGCTAGTACAATAGGCACAAGCATGAGCATATGCCTTGCCGATCGACCGAACATAAGAAAAGATTGTATTTTTCTCTGAAAATTTTGGAATGTTTATCACAAATCGAACACATATACGTACATACAACATGCTGAGGATTGTGCTACGTTTGTCTAGATATGCAGCCGTCCAAAATAGCCTTCAATTTCCGCACTGCATGCCGCCAAATTGTGTCCTTGTGCATCCCGAATTATTCCTGATCATGACGACGAAATCTGTGTGGCTCGCGGACAAGTCCTTGAGTCAGCGGTCAACTCTATGCAGACCTAAAGATGGTGCTGGTCACCTCACATGTATGCATCAAAAATATTTTTTCCTCTCTTCACGTACGTACATATCAGCAAACATTAACTTTCCATAGGATATATAGGAGATGCATATGGCGCATGCATGACTGAATATCTCATTTAATTGGCGGTTTATTTCTTAATTACCATAGATCGTCTTCAAGAAATAAGGTTCGTACACAGGACATATTTTTTATTGAACAATGAATATATCCTAAAAAAATATTATGTACTTAATGGTAGAGGGACAAGCTTTAACCATTTTTTGGTTTATATAAAAGTATCGAATATTGGGTACAGTGAACAAAGCCAGGGATGACTTCCTTTAATTTTGTGCCACATCACAACCAATTATTGTGTAATTGCTTATCTATGGCGTGGTTTGGCACAACTCAGCTTCACTAGTTAAGTTGTTTTTTTTTGTTTTCAGCTCAATGAGTACAAAAAAAATTATAATATTAAAATGAAAGGAGGTATAAAAATTTCAAGGGAATAATTACAATTATTCTACTGGGCAAGAGTTCATCAGATCATAAACTATAACAAATGCTCCTTCCGTGTTTTTTCTTTTTCAGTTGCAAGGGCCAAGGGATACAAACGTTTATTTCAGCAGCTCGGAAGCCTAAAAGTTTATCGGTTTTTCTGCTAATAATGAGACCAATGCTGCTGTTTTTTGGCTATTTTTGCCATCAGCTGCTACTCTATGCTTGCTAAGCAATTGTTGCTTTTTTTTACCAAATCTCCCCTCTCATCTCCTCTCCTTTGTTTTGCCGATGATTGAATTGTCCAAATCCATACATTATATGGAATATGAGCTGATGATCAAAAACTTGTGAGAAACTTGACATCATTACCAGCCGCTCCTACATTACCTTCTCATCTCTTCTATGTTACGATGCCTTGATGCTCCAAGTTCATGATCAAATGATGATTGACATGTTTCTGAGGCCTCTACTAATACTACTCGTTTTTTATATATTATTGTTTTATAGGACTACTTTGGTTTATATATCTTTTTGATTTCTTATACCTTCTTGCGTACCTAAAGCACACTTTCTTGCGTCTATTAGAATAAAGCACGAAATAATATCGCGGACACCAGACAGTGCAGCCCGATGCCCTGAGCATGATGAGCAACCAACCTATGAGGAGCAAGCACTAGAGGACCAGCTTACTTAGGAGCAGTTCGATAACGAGTTAGAAAATAATCTAGAAGTGATGCTTACTTAGGAGCAGTGTGACGAGGAGGAAGGGGGAGCAGAAGGAAGAGCAGGAGAGGCTGCTGAAGGCGAAGAAGAAGAGGATGATGATGATAAGGACTCAGAAGAGGGATAAGTAAGTCCCGAGGATCCTTCCCCATGTGAAGCCACAAGGAGGCCAACGGAGGCAGATTTGGACAAGGATTTTGACCCGAACGAGGAGGTAGGGATAAAGCCTTAGCTTGTAAATTTTGCTAAAGCTTTGGCTGTATTACCTCTGCTAACACTTTGACCTGTCGTATATACAGGTCCCTCCTGAAACTCAGAAAAGACGATGTCGACATCCGCGACATCCCACCGGACAAGACGGAGTAGAGGAAAGGGGAGTAGAGGCAACAGTCATAGAGACGGACATTGGGGCCTCTGCTCCACAACCTCAAGACACAACCACAAACAGTACTGCCAAGCCAAAGAGGAAACGAGGGGATAGAAAAGCAACCCAATATCCAGATAAGCCATGCTATGTGATAACGGAGGTCGGGCTAGCAGGGGAGATCCTTGAGCCGAAGGAATTCATAGGACGATTCTGTAATACGATTGGGGCCCTAGTAAGAGATAAATTAAACCCAGCAATCCCTAACTAGAAAGAGGTACCAGAGAACAAAAAGGATGAACTATATGATAAGCAGCTGAAGCCTAATTTTAGATTTTCGGAGGGTAAATAAGAACTGGTAAAAAATGCTTTTAAGATCATGGGAGAGTCATTCCGATGTTGGAGGTCAGAGCTCAACAAGAAGTATATCCAAAAGGGGTTAACTTCCTTCAGCGAGTTCGGCAACATAACTCCTGGTCAATGGGAGGAGCTCGTGGCTCAAAAGACTTCATCGGAGGCATTAGAGCTTAGTGCCAATAACACCGAGCTAGCGAAAAGGAACAAACACCACCAGCATCTAGGCCCCGGTGGCTACTATGCCAAGGAAGAGCAGTTTAGGAAGATGGACGAAGAGGCCGTAGCTTCTGGAAATATCGATGTGAAGAATTTGAAGGTACGCTCAAGGAATTAGATTTATGCGAGGAGTACAGAATCATCCGGCGGTAATCTTAAGTTTGATAAGCCGAAGACCCAAGAGGCAATATTAAGGATACTGAAATATGCTGAAGACAAGGAGAAGGGCTTATTCAATCCTTCTAGAGAGAGGGACGAGCTTAGCCTTAGCTTGGGAAACAATGAGCACACAGGCCACACCAGGAGGCTAGGGAAAAGGATGACCTGGAAGCACAGATTCGAAGAGGACAGGCACATGTACAAGAAACATGGTAGAGACCGGAAGGCTAATCTTGAGCTCCAAGTGAAGGCTCTAGTTACGAAGACGCTGGACGAGCAAGCACTGTCTACAGAGCCACGGACATTAATGGCGCCACTGGGAGAACTGGCATTAGCTGACAGCCCTTCAGAAGTTCCTAGCAGCCAAGGTTCCACTACAGCTACAACCCCTGTTGATCGCATACGGGAATCAACTAGTTGCACCTTGGTGTTTCTCAACGGTAGGCAGAACATTGTGATGGAGGTGGCAATGGGTGTGGCACATCCTCCCGGCGGCTTTGTAGCACCCGGTTTTAAGAACAAAACCGGATACACACCATATATGAACCTAGGAAGTCAAATATCACATATAGCTACAAATAAGGGTAATATCAAAAGACAATGCTTAAATACATAGTATAAAGAATATAACCTCAGAGTATAGACAGCAGGAAGACAACTCTGATCTTCAGGCGAAGACTCCAAATCCACAAGGACAACTGACTAGTTGATCACAAGCCTAATTCCTCCAAACTCTAGCAATCTGGTACCCATCCGGGATTTTTATCCAAATAATTGAAAAATAAAGCACGCATAAGTACATGTCGTACTCAACAAGGTTGACACTGGTTCAACTGCGATTAGCTTTTAATTGTCACAATTTTAGCATAGGAGTAGCAACAAGTTTATCACAAGCCCATAAACATATGATTAGGTAAACATGAATAATGAATAGCATAAACAGTAATCATTAATGAGCATCTTTATCATTAGTATCATCAGTGTTCATCATCTATTTTGTAAGGGTTCCAAGGCCGCTTGTGATCGTGAGCACGGCTGATATACTAGTTCTACACTCTGCAGAGGTTGTACACTTTCACTGTGAGTCGTGATTTACCCTTTCGCCCGAGGTGATCAGCCTCTTGACCCACTACCAAGGAAGGTCAGCAGGGTTCACTATGAAGCCTTTCAAAGGTTCGTCTAACAAGTTAGGGCCATTAGATTCACTCGGCAAACAGATATAGCAACCCCCTGTCGAATGGCACAATTCCATCATGACTATACATATAAGAGTAGAGGCTGTCCTATATCCGAATTCGGTAAGCCATTCTTACACCAATAAAGATAACCACTAACAAGCTAGAAAAGGTCCTAAAGCCCGAGCCATATAGCCCTCACAGCTGTACTGTAAGTCCCGGATGATCAGTTACAGATAAGTCCTTAGGGAGAGGGATCTAGAGCACCATAAAATAGCCCAATGCTCTAGCCCCCTTGTTCCATTTTGCTAAAAAGCATTTTTTAATGTTTATTGCATATTACATTAGTCAAGTTACAAGATCATGGTTGTAGTTGAGCACTAGCATCATACTACCCAATGCATATCCCATAGGAGTCAAGGTACAAGTACAAAAGACTAGAATATCCTTAGTGGCAGTCAAGGTAGATACATGTAATATGAATTAAATGATTAAAGGTGTATAGGACAACAAGGATGATACCATGCTATACTTGCCTTAAAACACCGATCCTTCGGTAAGCTTTCATCTTCAACGTTCTTCTTCTTCTTCTTGATCACCACGTATATCTCACCGACTAGACACAATCATAAAGCACCACACAAACATCCATACAATCATACATGAAGCAAACAATAGATCTAAAATAGAACAGTACAAAAATCATAGAAAAATAAGTAAAAGAGTTTGAAACACGATTCTACGCATCGCTACGAACACGCTGACACGAGAGGCACGCTAATCGGA